AGATTGGCATGCTTTTCAACAGCAGGAGTGGATAAGTCAAACCCATTGTGGTACATTATTAGGTAGCTATTAAATGTAGTAATTATGAAGCTTGTGTAACAAAAACGTTTATAACATAATGTTTGGTGAAAAAAGCACAAGTGTGTGCTCACTGTGATAAAAATATGTATAAAATGACTAAATGAGAAGGTATACAAAGTTACAGATTTATTAAATTTTATTTAAATTACATTTTATCTTTATAATTAAAAATTAAGTAAAAAATGTGTGCATATTTCAGATTGGTGGGGGAAGGGATGACAAGTTGTTAGAGTGGGTTTATGTTTACCCTCCCCTTCAGATTTTTAAAAATTATTTTCATTATCATGATTATGAAAGTTAGGTTTATAAATCTAAAAAAAAATAGCCATGTTTGTTTACTGAGAATTTAAGTAGAGATATTTTAATTTTCTTTACATTTTTATATCAAATCCAAATACTGATAACTTGATTTTAGTATTAGAGTTACTATTGTTTTGGTCATTAGAGCATTATAATTTGCTAAAACAAAAAGTAATAATGATGACTGTCATTATATATTAGTAATAGGGCTCACAGAAGCCCTTTTCTCATGGCATTCTGTGAAACAAATTATTATTATTACTATTATTTTCTTTTTGAGGTATCAACTCTTTAATTTAGGTCTTTTATATATAAAACCATTGATTTTGTTTTCAGGTTAGTTTTCTGCCTTAGCTGTTTTCTTTCTTAGCATTTTAAAAGTGAAGTCAATCTGTTTTATTAAAAGTTCAATACATCTAAATTCACAAGTAAGAGATGTTATGTAATGTCTGGATAGTGTAATGATTATTTGTTTCTGGTTTCCTCTTCTTTCTCCTTTCCTTTCTTTTTAAAAAATACTTAAAAGCATATGTGAAGATTACTTACAATTCTTTTTTGTTATTATACCTTAAGTTCTAGGGTACATATGCACAACGTGCAGGTTTGTTACATTCGTATACATGTGCCATGTTGGTGTGCTGCACCCATTAACTTGTCATTTACATTAGATATATCTCCTAATGCTATCCCTCCCCCCACACCACGACAGGCCCCAGTGTGTGATGTTCCCCCACCCTGTGTCCAGGTGTTCTCATTGTTCAATTCCCACCTATGAGTGAGATCATGCGGTGTTTGGTTTTCTGTCCTTGTGATAGTTTGCTCAGAATGATAGTTTCTAGTTTCATCCATGTCCCTACAAAGGACATGAACTCACTCTTTTTATGGCTGCATAGTATTCCATGGTGTATATGTGCCACATTTTCTTAATCCAGTCTATCACTGATGGACATTTGGGTTGATTCCAAGTCTTTGCTATTGTGAATAGTGCTGCAGTAAACATACGTGTGCATGTATCTTTATAGCAGCATGATGTGTAATCCTTTGGGTATATGCCCAGTAATGGGATGGCTGGGTCAAATGGTATTTCTAATTCTAGATCCTTGAGGAATCACCACACTGTCTTCCCCAATGGTTGAACTAGTTTACAGTCCCACCAACAGTGTAAAAGTGTTCCTATTTCTCCACATCCTCTCCAGCGCTCTCCACATCCTCTCCAGTACATCCTTTCCTGACTTTTTAATGATTGCCATTCTAACTGGTGTGAGATGGTATCTCATTGTGGTTTTGATTTGCATTTCTCTGATGACCAGTGATGAGCATTTTTTTCATGTGTCTGTTGGCTGTTTAAATGTCTTCTTTTGAGAAGTGTCTGTTCATATCCTTTGCCCACTTTTTGATGGGGTCGTTTGATTTTTTTCTTGTAAATTTGTATAAGTTTTTTGTAGATTCTGGATATTAGCCCTTTGTTAGATGGGTAGATTGTAAAAATGTTCTCCCATTCTGTAGGTTGCCTGTTCACTCTGATTGTGGTTTCTTTTGCTGTGCAGAAGCTCTTTAGTTTAATTAGATCCCATTTGTCAATTTTGACTTTTGTTGCCATTGCTTTTGGTGTTTTAGTCATG